CGGGGCCCTTCCCGCGGGAGGGGTGCGGGTGTAGCCAGGCTCACCCCAGCGTCCTCCAGGGACCGTCTTCTGCCCCGCCCATGTTCCTTGCTCGGGAAGCTGGCCGAGAAGGTGACATGAGCTGTGTCCACTCCCCTCTCAGGGAGAAAGCTGTAGCAGAAAGGGAGGTGGAAGTTCAAACAGCTGCTGGCCGGGATGTGCCCAGGAGTGGGGACACAAGACGTGGCTGAGGCCACTTCAGCGTCGCTTAGTTCAGAATGAAAGTTCGGTTGTGTTCCAGGTGTGTTAGCTGACGGTAGTTCAGACCCTTCCCATCCGCAAGTGGGAAACTGATTACTTCAGCTTCTGAAGGGAAAACAGGCTTGTTAATTTGGGCTAATGTGCTGTTGCTTAAACTGTGTTACCTGTGGTTTCACTGATGATTTAAGGGGCTCAGTCAGAGCTTCCCAGCCTGTTACAGGTTTCCCAGTGCAGAGTATTCATGGTAGTTAGGGTGGGAAACAGCAGGGGAAAAGTGCTTTGTGTGGGTAAAACATCTCGAAGGGTAGCTGCTGTTTTCCTTGTGTTCTGATAAGCTTAAGTCCTAATGTAGGAATGGTGGTTGAGGTTTAATAGCATAGCTCTGCTACATTTAGCTTCATTTTGTGATGTAGTTACCAGTCATGTGCCAGCTGTGTTTGTTTTAGCTTATTCTCCTTATTATTCAGAAATTAAAAGGCAGAAAGTACATTTTCAGTTATTTTTTCCTTGAGGACTCTTGTACAAAAAGATAAAGGTTGTGCTGGAGGCATCCAGGGAATTGCTTCTTCCAGGAAAGCTTGGATTGAGTTTTAGGAACTTTACTGTTGTTTTTTCCTGGTTTGTTTTGTTTTTTCTTTTTAATTGTGGAAGCTGGGGTTTATAAGAATTTACAGTTTGTACTGAACTTCCTTGTTCAGATATCAGTATATCCTTTATAGACAGGTAGTGTAAAGCCAGATTCCTTATCCTGCTGGGTTTTTTGCTTCTGTGCTGTGCAAATAGCCCTTGCTTTCTCTTGCTGCATCTTGTGCTTGTCTGATAGCTCAGCTGTCTTCCACCTAAGATGTCATGTGTCTGGGTGGCCTTCTTAAAAAGCTAAAACTGTTGCAATAATACCAGGTGCTGTAGGTACCGGTGTAATATCTACTTTGTACTTTTGACTCAGACGTGTAGGCTGGAAGGACTAGGGGAAAGGTGGAACTGAAAATTATGTTAATGGTGATTGAACTGCAGACTGAACTAACAGCACAGTGCACTTCAGTGTCCCCTGTCCATACTGCCAAGCCACATCTTCCATTCATAAGCAAGTCTTGATTACCTGATGGATTAACAAGAGCTTGTTAAATTATCTTGGTGGATGTGTAGGAGCACTGGATACAAGATTCAGATAAAATAACAAGCAGGCTTTGGTGTTAGCTGGGATCTTTTTTATTAGTTGTGTGGTTGGTTTGGGGTTTGGTTTTTTTCCCTAACCAGTTGTAAGTGGGCTGTTTCTATTAGTCCTTTATTGAAAACACTTAAGTCTTGATGTTTGTGCAAACAGTCCAAACCAAGTAAGACTGGTAGCTGAAATTCCTCAGAGACTAGCTGCTAGCGGAAAAAAAGGTCTTTCCCTCATGTGCCTTTCTGTTCCCAAAAGACTGTGTTTTGGGGGGTTTCTTGGTGAAGGATTATACTTGCCAGATCTGCTTTCCCACAGACACTTCCACCTCATGATTTTGCCTTTTGAATTACTTGGTTTGAACCTGCTTGTACTTTCAGCTTCCATTATGTCCTATTGCAGTGAATTCCACAATTTAATACTTTCCCCACCACACACACAATGCAATTAATGTCTAAAACCACACAATACTCCCTTGTTCTCCTACTGCATAACTGTTACTTCCTTATACACTATGATTTTTATCTTAATCAGCATCAGTAGGCATTAAAAGTCGGTTTATTACTAACTCTCACAATATATTTTAGCTTTGTAAAATACTGTCTGCTTCAGTAATGTCTTCTTGTCTCACAGGAACATAGGTTGCATCGCCATCTCGTGTAAATGCACATTTCAACATAAGCCTTCTTGTAGCTAAACTGTTGCAACTAAACTCCTTGTGTCTAGATTTTTTGTTAAGTTTTTGTCCAGTTTCCTTCCCTGTATAACTTCAGACCATAATCTGTAGAAATAATATATGACACTGCTGCACCAAGTGTGGTAATGGGGAGGACACTACCTGCACATTTAATGTTCTGTGGTTTGAAATACCTTCTTCATTGTGACTGCAGGCTGGGTTTCTCCTCCCGTTCTCTCTCCTCCCTAATTACAAGATATTTAGGAATGAAAAGTTTTGCTATTTTTGAGTATGAACTCAAATTTGTTGCATTTGAGTGTAAAAGGAGCACTTCTTGGGTGAGGATTTCCATTTTATCCCTGTTATTTGACAGTGAGCTGTGTTGCGCAAGCCAAACTGCAAGCCAACTGCTTTAGAGTAGCTGCTGTTACTTAATTAGGTTTTGCACATTAATCTCTAGTTACCCCTTCCCATTCCAGGGAAAACTAGCATGTAATTATTTCTTTGCATCAACACTAGGAAGAAAACTGGCTTAGTATATTTCTCTACCTTACTAAAAGGGAGAAAGGAAACTGATCCAGTACCTGAAGGGGGGGCCTATAGGAAAGATGGGAAGGGTCTTTTTACAGGGGCTTGCAGTGAGAGGATAACGGGTAATGGTTTTAAGCTGAAAGAAGAGAGATTTAGGTTAGAGATCAGGCATAAATTCTTCAGTATAAGGGTGGTGAGACACGAACAGGCTGCCCAGAGATGTTGTGGGAAGTCCATCCCTGGAGGTGTTCAAGGGCAGGTTGGATGGGGCTCTGAGCAGCCTGTTCGAGTGGAAGGTGTCCCTCCCCATCAGGGGAGTTGGAACTCAATGACCTTTAAGGTCCCTTCCAACTGAAAAAATTCTGTGAGTCTGTGATCCTTCCGCTTTCATGGTTGCTCATGGAGAGGCCTAGCATCAGCAATCCTTTGAGCTCAGCCATAGGTCTCTCTAAAATCCCATGGAAAGCTAGTTCATGTTAGCAGTAGTTATTACTCTGTATTTAATTTGTATCTATAAGAAAAAACAAAATCTCATGGCAGTTACATCAGGATTTAAGCAAAGAGCTTTCCAAATTGACAAGAGTAGGTTTCATCTGGTAATAAAGAGTTGTCCTGTTAGCTCTCAGCTTCTTAGATAATTTTTTAAGGCATTTGTTTCTGATGACTGTAATATTGTGGGGATCACTGGGAATAAAGGAAGACTGGAAAAGAAAAGCAAGTATTACAGGTTTGCAGTTTGGGAAGTGATGTTGAAAGGAGGCAGGGGCTCAAGAGTGCAGAGAGCAGAGCTGGGGAATGAAAGGAGGCTTGGGCTGGCTAGCTCTGTAGAATTGCTTAAAAATGGTCTAGTGCATTTATAAAAGGGTCGTAAACCCTGCTGAAACATGCAATTTAGAAATCCATTAATCTAGGGAGAGCAAAAAGCAGGGGAGTGTCTAGGTGGCTCCAGCAAGCTCTACTATTAACTGCTTGGAGGCAGAGGAACATAGGCAAGGTGCTGGCTCTGCTTCTTTCAATCTCTCCTTTAAAAATGATCTTAAAAAAACCCACCTCAAACCCCCATAAAACCCACCAAATCCCCACCTTCTGAACTGACAGAGTGATGGTCTTGATTTTTTTTCCTGTTATAGGGACAAATGAGGGGAAGATAACTGACATTCTGTAAATAGAAAGGGCACCACTTAGCTTTTTGGGAGAGAGAATAATGAAGTAGAAAACAGTATGAAGCACTGAGTGGGTCAGGGAATCCAGCCAGTACCCATGGGTAAAGAACAGAGCACTCAGTGGTGAACAGAAGAAGGAGGTATTTGGCATAAGTGCAGACAGCAAAGGTTCAGGGGTTCCAGCACAGAAGGACAGGAGCTTGTTGGGGAGAGAATTGTAAAAGAATGCAGGGAGACCCTGGTCTGGGTGAAGTACATTTTACCTCTAGTACAATTTATTTTTATTTTTTCCCCTCCCTGCCCTCTCCCCCTCTGTAACACAGGTTTAAATAGCCCTTTCTCTTCTTTTATGTACAATTGTACATAGTGCAAAACAGAACTGAGGGTAAGGATCCATGTTTCAGGGGGAAGAGTGAGGAAACCTAGTAAAAATGTGTCTGTTCTGGATCTGTTCCAGGGAGGGGCTGTGTAAACCAGGGCAAAATTAGCTGCTCAGTTGTTGGATTGGGGAAGCAAGATTATGACTAAATATGATGAGTAATTAAGGGGGACTGAATCTAGATAACTGCATAAGCTTGAGCTGTTGAACTCCCTAAGCTTGAGGGCTTTGCTTGAAATTCACGGTAAGGGATCTTCTTGGCACATCTAGCCTTCTGCAGCTGTCCACACTCTTCCGTAGTGCAGAATCAGAGGGGCAGAAGAATGAGGACTGCTGCTCAACCAACCTACACTTTTTCCTGAAGGAGGGGCATGCCACACATACCTGTTAGGCACTTGCATGCACATTGTTTTGTTTTGACACCTTCTGGTTCAGTAGATGACTGGACCTGCTGTTCCAGATCTGTGTTTGACAAGATTCTGGGGCTGTATCATCTTTCAGACATTAGTTTTAATTGAAGTGAAGAAGCCTTCTTTCCCTTCCACCCCCTGCTGGGTTTGTGTTCTAATCTAGTTCCATGAAAGTAGCACCTAGCTCTGGCCAAATAATACATTTGTTTGGACAGGATGTAACTTTGTGCAGAGATAATAAACACCTCATCAGTGAAGAGCTGATGATTATTGGAAGTCTCCTGACCTTTCTGCTGAGTCTGTATGCCATGTCAGCATTCTCAAGTGCTCCCACTTCTCTAATTTGCAAACTACTTGGGTCCAGCGTGGGAAGCTGGCAGGGGACATCCCTGGATGGAGAGCCAGGCATTTGAGAAGGTGGAGGAGGTAGTAGCAGTAGCTGTATTGAGAGAATGAACATCAGAGAGAATCTGTGGCTCTTGGGAACTTCAGAAACCTCTGTGCACCTTCAGTGATTTGGAAGACTGTATTTTACCAATTAAAACATTAGAGCATTCATTTAAACTGCTAAATGCGTAGTTGGTCATGAGTCATCTGTGGTTGTTACCTTTTGGAATTTCATTTGAACAGGCAGCATCGGGATGAAATGTTCCAGATTGTGTTTCTAAGCCCTCTCAGACACGTGTTTTCCTGTTTTTGCTAGAATCTTCTTCCCTTCTCTGCATATGCAGGGATACAGATGCATCCACTACAGATATTAACAGATATAGATATCCTTACTGGGAAGAGGATGAAAACTCTCCTCCTTTGTCCAGATTGTCAATGAGCAGAAAATTCTAGTTTTTGAATCTGAAGAGACTGTTGCTTTCATTTGTCTCAGCAAGGGCTAATGCAGTCTTAATGATTATAGCTGTACAGTAACTTGAAACTCAACAAAAGCCATTGCTTTGGGAAAAAAGAGGTTTGAGTAGAGACAGACTTACTTAGTTGTTTTTACATTTAATGTGTTACACTTATTTTGAGATAAGGTAAATGTAGATGACGTTACCTGGAACAAGAACTCTTGCCTTATGTTCTGTGGGTTATGGAAACTGTCATAAACTGACAGCAGTAACTAGCATGTAAGCCTTCTGCTTTGCTTAGAATTCAGGCTGTTTCATGAGCTTGCATTTCAAAGGGTAGTGATTATACCAAGCAGGTGCACAGGGCACCGGCTAATGATGAAAAAAATGTGCCGTAACAGGTTTCTGCTCCTGCCTTGTGCTTCAGTTGTGGAAATGATCCACTTAAATAAGAAATTGCTCGTGGTCTGGTGTTGGACTTAACTGATGAGGTGCCCCACAGTGAGCACTGGATACAGGCTACTTTTGTGCATCATATGGAGAACCTGATGATATTAAAACAAATGAAAATGTATTTTCAGTTAAAGGAAGGTGGTTGCAAAGGAAGGGAGCTTAATGCAACCAAAAAAAACAGTGGTGTCCTGGATGGAATTGCCATATGTGGCCTGGTTTACTTCTCAAAATCCAAGGATTAGCATGACAAATTTTGATAGATCTCAATCTGTCATTTCAGAGAGTCTACCACCTTTGGAAAAAGGGGCAGGCAACTCAAGGAGAGGAAAGGGATCTAGCTAGGACATGCAGAGAGTACATCAGAAAGGCAAAAGCACAGCTAGAACTCAACCTGGCCACAGCTGTGAGGGATAACAAAAAAGGTTTTTACAAATACGTTAACAACAAAAAGATAGTCTGGGAGAACGTCCACCCTTTATTGGATGCACAGGGGAACATTGCTATCAAGGATGAGGAAAAGGCTGAGGTACTGAATGCCTTCTTTGCCTCAGTCTTTAATAGTCAGGCCCATCATCCTAAGGGTATTCAACCGCCTGATAGGGATGGAAAGCAACAGCAACTCCCCATAATCCAGGAGGAAGCAGTTATGCCACCAATTCCATTGGTAAGCATCAAACATGTATTCTGTAGTGTGTTCTTTGAGGGGGTTATCAGATACCAGTATGTTAAATGTTCATGGGAATGGAATATCTCCTCATCCTCTTTTACCTGCTCAAGGCTTCTGTGATTACAGTTTTTCTTAGTTTCCTTAGGTTAAGGGGTAAGGCAGCCTTGCCAGTTCTGAACAGTTTTCTAAGTTTTCTAGATTCCTATGTACATACAAATCCAGACTTAACTGAACTTAGTTATCCTGGTTCTTGGGAACGATGTGTTTCATGATCAGTATAGCTGGAGGCATAACTCAAGTCAGTGAGTATAATAATGATGATCTGCATTTGTATTGCTGCCTTCTCCTGTCCCTACCTATGAGCTCATTTGTGTCATTTTTCTTTTTGCTCCTGCAGTGATAATGGGTTTACATGAGTGTGGACAAATCTCAGCTCATGGAGATTTCATCTCTTGTCTAAATCTGCTTAATAGCCTTTACTGGACCTAGACCAACATGATTACATGTATTTCCTGTTTGTACTGCAGGAGAGGAATTGCACAGGTGTAGACCCACATCACAGCAGCTGCCCCTTACCTTGAGTGGAAAGAATTCAGCTCTGTGATTGCCTGCAGCTGTTCCCTTGTTTAACCTGCACGTTGCATTTCCAGCGTTTATACATAACTTTGACTCTCTTTTCATGAACAGTGCTTCTAAATGCTGAGGATGTAACAAACAGTACAATGTAGCACAGTTTTGTGCTGAACAATATTTTACCTTTAATGAAATAGATTATCAGCTAAGAAACTGGGAACTGGCTAGTGACTTTTTATGTGAATCTCTTTCAGGCACCTGTTTGGGCATACATCCTGAGTGCATTAGGACTTTTTATCTACCAGTCCCTGGATGCCATTGATGGGAAGCAAGCCAGAAGAACCAACAGTAGTTCTCCTCTAGGAGAACTCTTTGATCACGGTTGCGACTCTATTTCCACAGGTAGCCTTAACCTATTGTTACCCATCCTAGTTTTAATAAAGCTACCTGTTTCCAAGAGGAGCTGATTAATCACAGATTTGTTGAAGCTAGAAAGGACCTCTGGAGATTATCTAGTCCAATCCCCTGTTCAGAGTAAGGTCCGCATGTTCCCTTTCAGGATAACTTCGCCATCTCCTGGTCACTGCAACCAAGACTGGCCCTAACCCTTGCATCCGTGACCAGTATCAGGGAAGGTATTTCAGAAGTACCCTAGGCAGATATGGGGTAACATGCCTTCTGCTCTTACCAACCGTGCATCTTCACATAGTGTTCTTTCAGTGGTGAACAAAGAATTCTGTATGAGCATGCTTGGAGATTCTTTACTATACATAGCCTGTGTTTTCCAGTAGGGTACTAGTAAAGGATTATTAAGGATTAATAAAGGATTTTAAGGACCCAAGAGACTGCTGGCATGTGAAACTAAGGATCCTGCTTTAAGAGGGACTTGACAAATTATCAGTTTGGTTGTAGAACATCCAGCCTGGCACTTAGGAGAAGCATAATTTATATTCCTTGGAAGAATGGGTTTAAAAAAAGTTGATTTGGGAATCCTTAAGAAGTAAGCCTTTCTCAGTTTTACTTTACTTAGCTTAGCTCCTGTTGGTGGCAATGTCAGTAAAAGCTTAGTGGCTGAAACATCTGCCCTGAGAGTTGGTACATTCTTTACACTTACCTCACTTCCCAGAGAGCTGCAACTACTAGTCTCTCAGAGCTGGGCCCTTCAGTTAAAGCTGTCAGTGTTGCACTGAACATGAGATGACAAGGGCAGAAGAAAGGAGAGAATGTAGGCCAGAAGGCAGGGACCCCATCTGGAAGAAGTCCTGTGTTCTGGTCTCTCCTGCCAGGACTGGCCCTGAGGTTAGCTACTCAGTAAAATATCAGTCATATCATTACTTTGTTATAGTGACATACAATGCCTTATGATTTTTAAATTTCTATTAACTGCCAAGCAAAGTGGGTATATGACTAACATGTTAATTTCTGCTTTTCAGTTTTTGTTGTCCTTGGATCCTGCATAGCAATCCGACTAGGAACAAACCCTGACTGGTTGTTTTTCTGTTGTTTTGTGGGACTGTTCATGTTCTATTCTGCTCACTGGCAGACATATGTATCAGGCATACTAAGGTTTGGAAAGTAAGTGGGTATCTTTAGAAGTACACGTGGCTTAATCTCTGAGACTGCTAGCTACTCGCTTTCTATTTCTTCTTGCTTTTTTTCCTGCTCTCTCTTCCTCTCAGCTTCTTCCTTAAGTCCCTTCCACCCTAACAGACTTGTTTTACCTGGCACTGCACATAACGCTGAGGACTTTTTCTTTAGCAGCTAATTGCTTTGTTTGTATGTGTTTGTTTCTTTTGTCTGCAGTTTTGTTCTCAGAATCCATGCAATCACCATGCCTGCTCAGGCCAGAGAGGTCTTGCCTGCAGTGTAAACAAGTATAGTAGTAGGGACATAGCTTCTGCAGTACCTCCCTTTGTAATCTGCCAGCCGTAGAACAGTTTCAACCCAGGGGACTCTGAACCACATGCATTTTTAGAGAAATTCCCCTGCTAGTAGATTTTTCTTCCATAGACATCTTCGGTCTTCCTTAGAATGAACTCTGCATACATTGCATCCTTTGCCAAAGGGTTCCACAGAGCAATGGTAGTGCTTGGAGAATGACCCCAGGTTTATGTGGGGGCTTTGCTTTTAATCTGATTTTGCTGTCTTTTAGGTATTGTGTTAGAACACAGTTCTAGTGATTGCCATGATGTGCTGATCATGACTTTGTAGAAATACCACCTGTTCTCACTACACTGTAGGAGGAGAGGTCATGACATGTGAAAGATAATTTCAATTTAACTCCTGATAATGTGGGGATTGCTGCACCCTCTGATGGCTGCAGTGGTGCCCAGTCATGGCCTTTTGCTGTTTTTAAACAATGAGCTGAATTTTAGTGATGATTTCTGCAAAAAGATCAGAGACTTCTAGAGCAGGAAAACTGGACATATGTGACAGATGAAGGCTATCCTTCTGATAATCCTAGCCACTTGCTAAGTCACCTGTTTATTTTCCTAATTAGCTCTGACCCGCAAGAAGCTCCTTAGCAAATCTGAGCACACTGGGCACACAGGCTAGTGATCAGCTGTCCTTTCATAGTGTTCAATGTCTGTATTAAAAGGAAGCTGTCTCTGTGGTAATGCTAAGAGCTCTTTTTTACTTGCTGATAATGCATTTTACTGCACAAACTATAATGCTTCTTCCTGCCTACTTATCTTACATTTTTAAAGGACAAGGACATCTTATGCTGTAAATAAAAATAGATACTTTAGGGTGACAGCTGAGATAGGATGATTTCTGTACCAAACAGTGGACTGCAGTAAAAGGAGATGGACTATGCCATGAGCTCTGGGATTTTGTATACAAGACTGCTTTTCTGTGCCTTTCTTCTTGCATAAAATGTGACAAAAGTTTCTCTGTATCAGGAAGGCACTGAGACTCCTATACCACAGAAAAATTTATTCTTTAAAAACATAATGACTTCTACATAAATACAGTGATAGTGTGTAGTACAAGCAGTTTGGAATGGCCTGGTGTTCCATTCTTACTGTTTGAAGTTAAGTAGGCTCAACTTTTCTTCAAGACAACTTACTTCTGCTTAGTGAAAACAGGTCAGAGGCTCTCTGTTTCATTTCTCTTAAGCACAGAGGTCACAGTCTAAATGTAGGCAATAGTATATTGCACTAAATGTGCATAATAGCATGGAAAGAAGCTTTTGATGATGCTGTTCCTGAATTAGCAGCACTTGATTTTAGAAGTCAAATGACAAATGAGAGTCCTAGTTCTGATGGCCAGGAAGGACTGGAGCAGCTGGGTGCTGTGCCGCTGTCAGGTTATGCAAAATACTGCACAGTGTCATATTAAAATCTCTGGACTCTGATTTGGGCTGTGTTGCAGACAGCAATCTGAGCCTCTGTAAAATTAAGTACTAAACTTTGGCACACATAATGACCCAACTTCGAATTCAAGCCTTGTTCTGGTGCCAGTAGCTGCAGTACAGCTTAGAAATCTAGGTTTTGATAGTACAGAGTGCAAACTCTGAATATTTGGATATGGATGTTTTTTCACCACGTAACTAAGAAGTTCTGTGTGCAGCTTCAGCAACGCCTGGGCACTTTCTGCATGAGCCCCCTCCAAGCAGTGCTGTCCCCTTTCTCCCCTGCATAGGCTTCATCACTTCAAGCCAATTCATGAAATGGGCAGATCAAAAACCTACATGAGGCTGGCAAGCTGAGCTGGTTCACCCTGCAGTCCAATGAGCACTACAGCTGGTACAAGTGAGGGAGTGCAGTGGTGCAGGAAGGAGAGGACTACCCATCCCAACTGTTTTTTGCACTGACCAGCACCTCAGCACGTTGTCTAATTGCAGCTTAAACATTGGCTCTTTTAAGACAAAGATTCTGAAGCTTGTGATGAAACAATGTATTTTATAATTATCTTTCCAATGAAAGAAGAGATTTTAATGTTACTGTGATTATGAAGATCTGATAAATATTTTCCACTAGCCAAGACTTGATTCCTATTTCCCTTTAAAAAAACAACAACACTGTTGTTGTGTGTTGACTTTTGTCATAATACCTTAAGTCAGCAAATTTATTCTAACTGCTTAAAGGAATGTTGTATTTTAAATACCTATTGTCAATGCTGGGAATTTCAGTTCAAAGATCAGGTACCTGTTTCAAAACCTTTGGTGGCATAAAACATACCTTAGATGTGCACACTGATTTATTTTAAAGCTTTATTTTGAAAGTGTCTATTCTTTCTCTTAAGCATCTGCTTAGCCTTTTTTTATATATTCGGATCTTTTTCTATATATTTAGGTCTTCTCAAAATATTTCAGCAATTAAACACAGTATGAATTAAAAACAGAGTATGGCTATCTTGTCTGAGAATTCAAAAGGTGGAATAGTCTAGACTTCAGGGGGCATACAAGGTCACTTATTTTGTAAATGTTATGGAAAAAAGCAAGATACCCGTTATATGTCCTCTGAAACAGGACAGGTGCTTAGCTATCCACTGACTCAGTCCTCAAAACACTGCCCTTATGTTTTGCAGGCTGTATCTGTCAAGTTTTCATGATGTGATGACTTAAATAAATCCCTTCTGTCCTACTCTGCTCTTCACAGTCCATACTTTTATATGATTGCTTTTAATGGAGATGTTTGATTGCATTCACACTGAGTTTGCCTTAAAGCTTGATTTGATACTTACACAGCAACAAGTCTGTAAATTTATACAAAGTTCTCATGAAAGATTTTCTCCCTATTAAAATGATACGTAGCTTCCTCTTGATAAGGAGCATAGGTTTTATTTTAAATCTGAACCAAAGATGTGTGCCCCATATAGAGTATCTTTTTCAGTGAAGGAAAATCATATTCTGTATACACTGAGGTAATATGAAGTACTTTTTAAAAATAAATAATTTGTAGTCATTGTTTTGATTCCCACGCCATGTGCCTTACACCTAGCAAAAAGACCTTTTCGTTAACTAACTAAATCTTCCTTTTTTCCCCCATCATAGAGTTGATGTAACTGAAGTTCAGATAGCCATAACAATGCTGCTCTTGATATCAGCATATGGTGGCACAGCACTATGGGACTATAAGGTAAGTGTATTCAATATTCAGAGTTCCTGTTGAGTCTTTAGTTCTTGTTCAGAGTCACAGTTCCCATGATATTTGAAGCTATGCTGTGCAAGTACCATCAATACCTACTAGTTGTCTAATGCTCTGCTTTAGCTTTTTAAACAAATGTAGGTTATATTTATGTTCTAGTTAATTTAGGTATAGTGGTGCAATACCTATTTGCAAAGTTAGAGCTATGTAGAGGAAAAAAGACCCCATCTGCCACATACAAACTTCTGATCTGGAACACAGACTCTGCAGATCCTTAAGTTTTAACAAATAGCTTTTATTCTAGTTTTATTTATTTTGTATATATTTTATTGTAAAACATACGTTTCTTTTCAGTTAAATGATTTATAGTATGCTTTCTTTTAAACTTCAAAGATTAAATTCTTTAACAAAACTATGGGATGAAGTGAGTGGGTTTTTTTGTTAAGTAAACCATATCTATGTGCCAATGGAGATGTACTGATTTTTAACAGTTATGTCAGCACTGACATAAATGTAAATATTTGTATTTAAAGAATTACTTTGCTCCCCAAAAGCATTTCCCTGTCTCTGGCTTTTATTCTGATCTTTAAAGATGCACTTCAGTGCATGGGACCAAAAGTGTATTAGACTGACATCTTCATCCTTTCTTGTGTCTTTACTCAGAAATATATAATTCTGCTTGGTTATAACACATGGAAGAGTTAAAACTATTCCATGCTATTGATAACCAATGCAAATTAATCTAAATTAAGAAATGTTCAGCTAAACTTTGTTTCCTTTCCCCATCCTGCATGATCCTTTTGTTCCATTTTCAAACAGTGTATTTTCATGTTGGAAAATTAAGTAGGTGTGTAGACTTCAATTATAACTGATTTTTCTTAAGTATTAAAATCTATGTTAGTTATGCTGTATCTCAAAAGAATCTATAATAAAAAATACAGCAATTTATTACTACTTTTTTTTCTTTTTTTTTTTTTTTTCTTCTTTTTTTTTAAATCCTGTGCTGCCTTTGGAAGTTTCCTTGAAACTGCAATTGATTCTGAAAGGTAACTGTTTAATTAAAATTTGTACTCAGAGACAATTCTAAATGCAAAGATACAGCATACAAATAATGTATATCAAAACGCAAAGCAGGCAGATGGTGTTTGTGTTTCCTGTGGTTCAGTGTTGTGTTACCCAGTGAAATAGAAGGAACTGTCCCTCTCCTCCCACTCCCATGCCTGAGGGATGCAATAGTGCAAGTTTTTGTATATAAAGTAAAAATATTTTAAGAATGTTGTAAGGACAAACAGACTAGAACTTAAGTATTCAAAAGTTGAGTTTAAATATTTTAAAATAGATTTGTCATCTTCTTAGTAAAGAAACAAATTCCAAACACTGTCCTCCTGAGCATGTTTCCAGGAAAGTAAGAGTTCAAATAAAACCATTGTTTAGTAGGTATCAGTAACTTTTTTAATAACTCTATAAAAAAGCTGTTGTTAACTATTAATATCTTTCTTTTGTTTTTCCTGCTAAGGTCCCCTTGGTGGGCTTAGAACTGAAGTTCTTGGCAGTTTTTGGCATACTGTGTGGAATAGCACTTTCTTTTTTCAATTACTTCCGTGTTATCTTTGGTGGAGGGGTTGGAAAGAATGGATCCACAATAGCAGTAAGTTGCTTTAAAAATCTGAAGGAGGTTCAAATAATTTATGTCCATAATTTTTTGCATTTCAGGTGATCACAAGAGTTTTCTCTGTTTAAGCATTTAAGCGGATGAGTGTAGGAGTGTTGGATGGCTAAAGCAAAGCCCTCAGCACAGGAAAGATGCAGATCTGTTGGAGAGGGTCCAGAGAAGGGCCACGAAGATGATCAGTGGGCTAGAACAGGCTGAGAGAGTTTGGGCTATTCATCCTGGAGAAGAGAAGGCTCTGGGGAGTGCCATTCCAGTTCCTGAAGGGGCTACAGGAAAGCTGGGAGAGGGTTTTTTCACCAGAGAGGGCAGTGATAGGAGAAGGGGTAATGATGTTAAACTGGAAGAGGGGAGATTTAAGTTAGACATCAGGAAGAAATTCTTCACCGTGAGGGTAGTGAGGGTGGAATAGGATGCCTGGGGAGGTTGTAGAAGCACCCTCCCTGGAGGTGGTTAAGGCCAGGTTGGATGGGGCTTGTGCAGCCTGGTCTGGTGGGATGTGTCCCTGCTCGCAGCTGGGAGGTTGAAACCTGATGATCTTTAAAGTCCCTTCCAACCTTAACCATTCTATGATTCTATTCATTATCTGCCTTCTTTCTGCCTGTTACTGGATTTCTTCTATTGCAGGAACAAGCAATGAATTTTCTTACAAAACTGGTTAGTGGTCACTGTGAAATACACTAATAGTATTGGCATATAATGCTAATGGACTTTCCCTGAATTTTGACTGTTCTGTTTTTTTTTTTAATGGGATTTGCAGTATGTGTTAAAGCTGGACCTTGCTGTGTGACTGAAGCTCAAGAAAAATTTTCTGACCTTTTGTATTTCAGGGAACGAGTGTCCTTTCACCAGGGCTGCACATTGGACTACTTATGACACTGGCCATTGTGATCTATAAAAAGTCTACAACACAGCTGTTTGAAAAACATTCTTGCCTGTATGTCTTGACATTTGGATTTGTAAATGCAAAAATCTCACAGAAGTTGGTGGTAAGGAATCTTGTTTCAGTCCTAAGCCTCCTAAAACTAAACTGGTTTCTGGCTTAATGCTTGCTGGATCAGTGGGTGCTGTGCAAGTTTTCCCATTCTGCTCTGCCACTGTATTACCAGTTTCATTATGACCAAGACACTGAAGTGGGCTCAGGTTCCTACAGAGAGATTAAATATGATGCTGACACAAGCACGTACTTATTGCTGAATGTGTTGGCTAGAACTTTCAGCTTTGTTTAACTTACTCCTAGAAATACACTGTTTGTCTTTAACATCATAACAGTGGTCCCTCAAGCCTTACTAACAGTGCTGTGACTTCTGATTTAATTATCTGAAATAGGAATTTGCTTGAATCATTAAAATGGAGAAACTTCTCTATCATTAGGTGGATAGGTGATGGTAGAGCAGTAGATGTGGTTTATCTCGATTTCAGTAAAGCATTTCACACTGTCTCCCACAGCATCCTTGTAGATAAGTTGATCAAGTATGGGTTTGGTGATCAGGTAGTGAGGTGGATCAAGAACTGGTTGAAAGGAAGAAAAATGAGAGTTGTGGTCAAGGGGGCAGAATCTAGTTGGAGGTCTGTGACTAGTGGAGTCCCTCAGGGGTGGGTACTGGGACCGGTCTTGTTCAGTATCTTCATAAATGACCTTGATGAGGGAACAGAACATACTGTGGCTGACACACCAGAAGTCTGTGCTGCCATTCAACGAGACCTAGACAGGCTGGAGAGCTGGGCAGGGAGAAACCTGAAGTTCAACAAGGGCAACTGTAGAGTTTTGCATCTGGGGAAGAACAACGCCATGTACCAGTAGAGGTTGTGGGCTGACCTGCTGGAGAGCAGTGTAGGTGAAAGGGACCCTGGGGGTCCTGGTAGACAGGAGGATGACCATGAGCCAGCAATGTGGCCAAGGCCAATGGCATCCTGGGGTGCATTAGAAAGGGTGTGGTTAGTCGGTCAAGAGAGGTTCTCCTCCCCCTCTATTCTGCCTTAGTTAGGCTGCATCTGGAATATTGTGTCCAGTTCTGGGCCCCTCAGTTCAAGAAGGACAGGGAACTGCTTGAAAGAGTCCAGCGCAGAGCTACGAAGATGATTAAGGGAGTGGAACATCTCCCTTATGAGGAAAGGCTGAGGGAGCTGGGTCTCTTTAGCTTGGAGAAAAGGAGACTGAGGGGTGACCTCATCAATGTTTACAAATATGTAAGGGGTGAGTGTCAGGAAGATGGAGTTAAGCTTTTTTCAGTGATGACCAGTGATAGGACAAGGAGTAATGGATGCAAACTGGGGCATAGGAGGTTCAGTGTGAATATCAGAAAAAAACTTTTTTACTGTCAGAGTGACAGAGCACTGGAACAGGCTGCCCAGAAAGGTTGTGGAGTCTCCTCCACTGGAGACATTCAAATCCCACCTGGATGCGTTCCTGTGTGATGTACTCTAGGTGACCCTGCTCTGGCAGAGGGGTTGGACTAGATGATCTTTCGACGTCCCTTCCAACCCCTAGGATTCTGGGATTCTGGGATTACCTCTTTTTTAATTAAAAACTTCATCAATGGATAAAAAAAAAAAAAAACCTGCCTTACTACAAATTTGCTAACAACACTATTCCAGCCAGCTGATTTTTTTTTTTTTTTTTCCACCCGCATGACATTTTTCAGACTCTAGAATACAGGTATTCTAGAGACATTCTTGCTAAACAGCAGTTTGCCCAGTGAGCTACTAACTTTGTTCAGGAGAGGGAATGCTGATAAGAAGACTGAGCCTTAAAACTGAACTTAAGGCTGTTCTATTCTGTTAAACACCTCTGCTCCCTTGCTTATCCAGAGGACCCCTGGGTCCTCCTAACCAGCAGTCATCACTGCATGTATGTCAGCTCACTCATGGACACTCTGTGTTTGCTGTGTTTGCTGTGGTGCTTTATGTGTAGCTTTGAGGGCAGTCTGCTCCAGAGGCAAATCTATAAAGGTAGTGGGGGAAAAGATTTTGCAGGATTTAGCTCTCCCAGTTTTCTGATGCTGTTTCAGGAGACCTTGTCCTGCAGGCACTCCAGAGTGAGCAAACTGCAGCAAAAACTTAAGACGTGACCAGGTGGGAGGCCCAGTTGGAGACATGAGCCAAGGTCTGTGCAGCTTGTTTGGATGTGCCACAGCTGCTCCATGGGCACCAACTGCATAGCTGTTGCACATCATCCCAGATGTAAGCCAGGAGATGCTCTCTGCAGCAAATCCCTTTAGCAGGAGAGATGCATCTTTAGCTGGCTTAAGAGTGGAAGCCTTTGTGGTTTGTCTTGTGTTTAGACTAGAACACCGAGAGGCTTTTCTGTGAATTTTACTATTCAGCATAGATGTATATTATGCTAAGAGACAACTTTGTCAACAGGAACCTCTCAGTACTTTAGTAGTATTTGCCAAGTATCCACAATGCATGGCAACAAGGAATGACAGGCTGATTTCTTATGGCCACCTTGGCACCTAGACTACTTTCCTTCTGCCATTTTTCAGCTTCCTGGTATGGACTCTTCAGATGTCCTTTACTAGGTCTCCAGCCTCTTAAAAAAACCCCTCTTCTGCCTCTCAGTTAAAGGTGAGCTTAAGTTGTCTCTAAGAATGCCAGATATGGAAGGATCAAGGTGTTCTCTTGGTCATTCTGTAAAGTGTCTCTGCATACATCACTGTCTCTACTAAGCAGTAAAAACAAGTCTTGTCACCTAAGCAGAAGCATAGTTTCTAGTTAGCTTTTGGCCAAGTAAAGCCATAATTTTCAAGTTAGACTTGTAAAAAGAATTTCAAGTGAACAGTACTAACTTTCAGTTTCAATTTTCCCTTCAAATACAGCACTGGAAAAAAGAGTGGGGAACTCCTGCACATAGCTAAAATGAACTGCTACAGATGTCATATTACAAAAAAACAATGAAGGACATGTACAGATAACATGTACATAACGAAGTAAAAAAAGAAAAAAAGCCAACTGATAACTCAAGTAGCTGTTCTCACTGATTAAAGTGCTATATATTGATTGAATAACCTGGAAGGAGGTTCCTTGGTCCTTAAGAAAGAAACTGTCAGGGAGCAGCAGGCCCTAGAGCATTTATGAAGCCCTTGGCCTTCCTCCTGACTGCTTCCTACAAAGCGGCACCAGCAGGCTGTAGCTAGGTGAGGGTGTTGTGCACTGTCACAACTGAGGTGGAGGTTTTCTGGTCAAGACATTGATCTTGTGGTGGTGCAAGTTTGTCTTTTTTTTTTCTTTTTTATTGTAACATAGGTGGCTCACATGACAAAAAGTGAAATCTGTCTGCAGGACACTGCATTTATTGGGCCAGGACTTTTGTTTTTGAACCAGTACTTCAACAGTTTCATTGATGAATATATTGTTCTGTGGATAGCACTGGTAAGCATTTTGTTTTATACTTTTCATTTGGAGCATGCTTAAAGCAATGGAGAACTGTCCCTGTGACTCCACCTTGCCATTTCTGCCTTGCTCAGATTTCAGCTGTCACTGCAAAGGGAGTGCCCAGATATCATGTAACTGTGTATTTTGTAAGCTGACCGGCTTTCTTTCTTGAAGAGAGATGTGGAAGTAAACTTACAGATGTCTTTTGTAATTATGCTTCAGTTCAGGTGATTTGTTTAAACTTATTCTGCTAAATGCAGACTAACAAGCTTTGTTTATCAGATTTTAGGTGTTTAATACTGTTTGTTTTTTGGGGGTTGGTTTATTTTTGGGATTTTTTTCCTAAAATAGACCACTAAAATAGACCATATAAATGTTAAAATACTTGTTAAACTGGATAAATTTATTAAAGTATAGATTAATTCATAGTAGGGACAATTAAAAAAAATACTTGGGGTTTGTTTTCTTTTGTTTTTTTAACCTGTTCTGTTTTGTTCTTTTGAAGTTCATATCCTTGTTTGATATGCTGAGATATGCCACTGCTGTATGCCTACAGATTGCTGCTCATCTTCATATACATGTCTTCAGAATTTCATCTCATCAAGCTCCTGAACAGGTTCAAAACCATAATGACTGATTAAATAGGCCAAGGACAAGAGGAGAAGCAGTTAGGGGAGGAATGTTGAATGAAGCAAGCTCTTTTCTTGGGAAGACAAATTAAGCTTTTGAATAACATAGTTTTATGAGAAAGCTCACTCTATCCCAGATACTGCCTGATGTTAGAATTAAATATAAAGTCTTGCAGATTCTGTTGTGATCAATACTTTTGAACCAGGATGTATTCCCTCCTGTGTTCTATACATTTCTCAAACCAGGACAAGCTGTTATTTCAGATAATTAATACCACATTTGAAACTTTTGCCATTTCATGGTAGGTAACCTTAATTGTGTACTTCTGGTCTGATGAATGTAGCCTGCAAACCAAGGGGCTACCAACCAGAATTCAAAGAGGAATTTAACTTTTCCCTAGACCAAGGGACTAATACTCTAGCATTCAATTATCAAGTCTTCTTGGAATAGCAGTGAAGTGGTAGTCAGAGATATCAATGATTACAGTACTGCTGGTAAAATGAAGCATCTATGAGGTAAAACTAGTTCACTTTAGTTCTAGCATTTATAAAGAACAAGCTACTAGATCAGTAGCATGAAGGAGGTACAGCTCAGGAAAATTTTCTTCAATTTCAAAATACTGTAATGAGTGCCTTAAGGATTCATGCATTCTCTTGTATCTAAGTATATAACCTACCATTACTAAATACAGTTGTAGCTTGTATTTTCTCTCAAGGCCAGTTGCTGGTTTTGTAGTCATTATAAGGTTTGCCTCATTGTACACCATCATTAGTTAGACTGTGTGCAGTTGTGTACTTTGAGGACACAGACTTCACCTACCCCAACTTGTACCTGTGAACTGCATTAGTGAATGATGAAGTTCACTGATAAACTTAACTGGCTGTGACTGTTTTGACTGTGACAATGCAACCCACCCGTATGTAATTCCCTCTGAAGTATGTTTCTATCACTGTGTTCATCTATAATGTCTCATTTGTCTTGTAACTATCATTGTACTTTATCCAAACAAAACTGCACAGAACAAAACTGTGATGTATAGTGAAACTCTCCAAAACAGAAAGTGAGGCCCACTCTCAGCCTTTCTGTAAGAACAGACCCACTGGCTAACATCATGTGCCTATAGCTAAAGGGCTGTTGTCATTAAAGAAAATCTGGTTAGAAGTAGCTTATTATCTGTACAAGCAAATAATGACTTTTATACAAACCCTGTAAGCTTAAGCTCCTTTGAAGAGATACTATTTGAATATTATTTTTGTAAAAAGCTGTTCAATGTAAGTGTCCATTACCACTTTCAGTTGCTGATATGTAGCTGAGCTGTGACTTTATTATTATAAAGTCCTTCCTGAACTGTACAATAAAGAATGCTATGGTTTGTTTTAAAAATATTGCCACTGCAGCTTGCCAGCTGCACTTTTAATTCAGAGAAACTTCCTAAGGTGTCAAGGAACTTCAAAAGCTGTGTATTGTCTGCTAAATTTGGGGGTAATAAAATGCCATCTACCACACTCCTGCCTGAGAAGGATATACTGAGATGCTTAAAGGGGTAACTCTTAACAGTTACTGCCAAAGGATTAGCACTCTTAAGTGAATGATGTCAATTCCAAATGACTCCTACTACATCTGTTTGAGGCTGGGAAAGACGCAGCATCTACACATGAACTTAGCCTGAAGGCAGGCCATGGGAAAACAGAAGAGAATAAAGACTGTTTCAGTTTGTATGAATATTGGGAGCAAATTAACCACCTCCTGAAAAGACATAGGCCATTTTTTTTAAAGTGAGAGCTTTTAAGGATTAGATTGAGATATGTGAAAGATAGTAAATGAATGCAGAAATTAGCTAAGAAATCAGAAACATGAGGCAATACTGATGAAATAAACCAGGAACATGAAGTGCAATACTAACCGATAAGCTAGTACTGAAGATAGGAAGCAAAAACAGTTAACTGAATTTCATAGCATCATCTAATCATCCTTAGAGGGCAGAGCCTCAGCAGCACAGTTACAAATTGGCATAGTTTCCTATTATCCACCAGAGGCCCATATGCCCCATCCATCATTCTAGCAATACAACTTCTGTGTTTGCTCCTTCCCTGATACGCAGCAGATGCAGGAGAGCTCCGCACCAGTTGTTCAACTTCAGTTGCAACCTAAGAGCTGAAGTTTCTGTAAGCCATCGGTCCCAGAACTGGAGCAGAACATCCCAGAACATCATCAAATTATTTGATCTTGAACTAAAAATGCTAGTAAGCTGAGTTTGGAGTGGTTTTGAAAAACGCTGTTAGGAAAACATCACATTTGTGCATGTTTTTTGTTTTATCTACGGTTGTATTAAATCTAAGCATTAAATACATTAAGAACTACCTAATTTGTAAAAATGGGTAATAGTTTTCTGTAAAAACAAACTGCATGGAAGCTGGTTAATTTATACTGATTTACTGTAATGAAATACATGAAAGATAAATGCTTTATCCTTAAAACATAGGCCTCCCTAAATTGCTAGTCATTTGGCCTTGCAAAAATACTCATCTCAAAGGCTTGTAATAACTTGTACTAAATAAATTTGTTAGATTACTTCTAACAGCGGTTCTACAAGAACTATATACCCTAAAATGCATAATGTTTAATTATGCTTACTTGAGCAGATATCATTTAAAACTGTAATACTCAGCTCATCAGTCAGCTAAAGAAATCTGCTTATTTGACAAATTAGAGCAGTTCATAAATCTCTTACCAGTACAAAGATCTTACTGTGCCTAGCCTAACAATGTGCTTTAATTTACTATCATACACATCACTAAACAAACTTGCATGAGCTATGTCATGCTCTGTGAACTTTTATAACTGCTGGTATGTCAGCAGACTAAATGTTGAAACTGAAAATCTGTCTGCAGCTTGTGAAGAAATGTTTCTATTACACAATGTATCTAAAGGCCTAAAATTATATAAAATCTGGGTAATGCATTTTTCATTAATTCAGCTCATTCTTACAATTTGACATTATAAAAAGTGACAATTTAAACAGTCCAATGCTATTGAAAGTGAATATTAAGTAGTTAAAGATTAAAATTAGACAGATAGTAAATGGTTTGGGGTCCATACCCACCCCAAAGTAATACATTTAATAATATACATTCTTATAATATTATCAGGCACAAGATAAGAACAATCCATGAAAGCATTTAATAGGAACTTTAAAACATTTAAATCTTAACATACTTCTCTATGGCTAATGCCTATACTTGTATCATGTTATTTAGGTACAAGTTGTTTCTCCATTGAGCCATCAGAATAACATGGACTGAAGAGACTTGCGAACAGTTGCCATCTCCTGCTGTTGCTGTTACAAGAAAAGGAGATAATACTGAAAAAATGCCTATCAATATGATACTTTTGAGCTAATTAAATGAATGTCAAATGACTTTTTAATAGAATGTGCTTTTTTCCATTTAAGTAACTTCTTTATAGGTCTGATACTTACAGTGTCCATCATAATCTTCTTCTGCAACAGAGCCATTTCTTTGCGAAGTTCACTTTGTGCACCAGCTAGAAGATTTTCATTGTTCTTCTCCAGCTCTTCCATGCTCTGAAGTTAAGGATAATCTTAATTCAGAACTGTTCCATGTCAAAGGGTTCACTTAAATGACCATTATTGAGACTGTAAATTAGTTTCTACAGCAGCAGTAGTCATTGATAATTGATGAGTTTTGTAATGAACTTGCCAGACAAATCATACAGTACTCCAGTTTACATTCATGTTTAAACAATATAGACCCTGTGAAGGAAACAGTCCCTCCACTCTGAGGTCTCAGCTAGTTGTACATTTCAGTAAATGTAAGAGTTCTACAAGAAAAGATTAAACAGACATCTGTCAGGAATGTTAGGGGTTTAATGACAACCTTGGAGACTTGAAGTAAAGAATATAAAACCCATTAAAGGTCTTTCTCTTTGCACACTTCTCCCCGAAGAAGCAAAGCTCACTGGTTATCTTCCTTTTAGACATGCAGTTATGCCTAACTCTATGTATGGAAGTAGTTGTATTTTACTGACTTGGCACTTCAGAGCAAGCTCTAGTGGCAGAGGTTTTGTGTTTTTTGGTGGGGTGTGTTAGTTTTTTGTTTTCTTTTGTTCTTTTGTGTGTGTGTATTGATGGTTGGACTCGGTAATCTGAGTGGTCCTTTCCAACCATGACGACTCTGAGAGTCTGTATTTAATTAAGCTTATTGAGGCTTGATTTTTACCCTTTGATGTTCCTTGAGGGGAAAGAAAGCAAAATTATATTTGACCTTCTGTTCAGTTTTTTGTCTTCGATGAAAACATTTTTTACATTTTGGAACACTTATAATTCATTAATGCTTCTGCAGTATCCTCTAAATTTCAGTTATTTTAACCTGTTATTCTACTTCAGAAAAATTTTTTAAGCTACCAGACTTGAAAAAATAATAAACCAAATTATAACTAAATGAAATTTCAAAAAGCAACCAGTTAGGAAACAACTGGAATAGAAATTAAAGTTGTTCATAAACTAACAGACTTGAATTACTGGGGTCCACTCAGCAGCTTGACAGAAAAGCACCTGAGGGTCCTGGTGGATACCAAGTTGAACATGAGCCAGCAGCATGCCCTTGCAGCAAAGGCATCTGATGGTATCCTTGGCTGCATTAGCAGTGTTGCCAGCAGGGCAAGGGAGGTGATCTTTCCACTCTGCTCAGCACTGGTGAGGCCATACCTAGGGTGCCGTGTCCAGTTCCAGAGTCCTCAGTACAGGAGAGACATTGGCATAATGGATAGAGCCCAAGAAAGGGCCATGATTACAGGACAGAAGCATTTTTCTTGTGAGGAAAGACTAAGAGCTGGGACTCTTCAGCCTCAAGAACAGGAGTCTCACAGGGGATCTCATTAATGAATACAAGTATCTGAAGGGAGGGCACAAAGAAGACACAGCCAGGCTCTTGAAGTTTCCAGTGACAGGACCAGAGGCAGTTGGCACAAACTGAAAACACAGGAGGTTCCCTCTGAACATCAGGAAACACTTTTTTATTTGTGAGTATGGCTGAGCACTCAAACTGGCTGCTCAGAGAGGCTTTGGAGTCTCCATCCTTGGCAGATTCTCAAAAGCCATCTGGACACAAGTCCTGGGCAACTGTCTCTAGGTAACCCGGCTGTACCAGCTCCTAGCAGGACCAGACAACCTCCAGAAGTCCCTTCCACCTCAGCCCTGCACTTATAATTTGGTACTGTGCCTCTGCATTCATTACAAAACCTATGGTTTAAGGTACTTTCATTTCTCTCACAGTTTAGATTTTGAATACCTTACTTAGAAAAACAGTGGGAAGAAGGAAATTCTGAGAATAAAGTGCTTTGTTCTTAGTGTAAACTGACAGCAAAAAACTTTCTTTTAACCCAAGTCACATTCACCTTTTCAGTACTCATCAGTTTTTATTTGCTGTATAGTATGTTAGCTACTTCGTTAAAAAAAGAACAACCAACAAATCAAAACACATCACAGTTATCAGTATGAATTATATGTTTAAAACACAGTATCGCTGTAAAAAAAAATAATTGTATTTGTAGGGACTCCCAGCCAATGCAAAAATTATGTATAAAGCAACAGGCAAGTTAAATGAGACTGATTACATAACCATTCAGCTGGTCCTGTTTTCACTATAAAAATCATTATTTCAATCAGACTCTGCCTGCTGACATTTTAGTGAAGGTCTACCTTGAATACCAGGTTAGAGTAAAGAAAACCCCCTCTAATGAATGTGGCTTAGGAAGAGATGAAGGGAGTTCTACTAACTGGGCAATTTTAAGGGAATTGCAGTTGATTTTCTTTAAGGGCCACTTTCCTTACATGAAGCAGCAATAGCTAGAAAGGTTAATGACAGAAAAAAAAAATTATCTTGTTCATATTGTGGGTAATGTCCCTCCCAGCAGTAAGTTGCAGCCTAAGATATGTTCTTAATAGATTGTTAAGTTTCATTTTTTTTAAGTCCATACAAAAAGTCTAAGGGAATAATTAAGACAAAATCCTGGTGATTTAACTGACCTATATAATCTTTAAACTGGTACGAAACTGTGTTCTGCTTAGAACATATGCTTTGAGGGTTATGGTTAAATATTTGGAACAAGCAAGCCCATCAGATTGCTGTGAGAACACATTTAACTAAATCACTATTAAACAGATGCAATCTGTCTGCAAGTATAGAGAGAATACGTCACATTCGTAACAAGGGAAATAAACAAACAGGAATATTCACATTAGGCTGTTGTTGTCCTTAAATGAACCTTAAATCTCTATTTCATAAAAGCTGAATTACTACAGCTTTCTTAAATGCCTTTTATTAAAAAAGCTTATGAGCTTTGGAGAAGCAAAAGAGGTGACATGTTTAAAGCGACATTATAAGGATCAGCTGTCTTCTAAGAAGAAAATTTACTGTACCTTTAAGAATTGCTCATAGAGTTGCTTAATGGTTTTCAGTCTCTGACTTTGAACGATTCTTGCCTGTTGAAAAACCTTTTGTTGCTGACGAAACATATTCTAAAGCAAAAAACAAACATGTTAGCTAACTAAAAGCACTTGGAAGGCAAACTAATGTAATTAGTAGTCAGAAATTCTGCCTTCACTGGGAATCTGGGTTATGTTATGTAGATCTCTGCCTGGAGAGTTATCCTTGTTCTTAGTAATGAAAGACAGACTGAAGACTGGATTAAGCCCTGTTTCACCTCCTGAGGTCTCTTCCAACCAGAATTATCCCTATGAGATCCTATAAGGATTGCTATCCAACACAGCTCTTTCAAGAGTATCCCAGGGAAATATGTTGCTCAGGGAAAAACAAAAACTTGCAAGTTGTTTGTTCGGAGTACAAATACAGCAACATCATGTGACTACATTCCACTGGATAATTCCTATCCCCTTTCTCATACATGTATTATATATAAACATGTTTTAAGCAATGCATGCTAAAAGACAACTACTTTCCTTCACTCCTTTGTTCCCTGAACACAAAGACTATGGATGCACAGTTACAGGATGCATCTTTCTTCTCCATACATGGTCTGGTCTTTTCTAAAGCCAAATGTTGGCCTAGGCCATCACTTATCACCATTTATAAACTTGCAATAATATGCCCTTACTCACTTTAAAATATATCCCAAAACTTAAACATTTACAGTTTGAGAGCCATCAAGTTTGAATGAAATTTTTTAATCAATCGTATGTTTGTTTAAACTACATAAAGAGTTTTTAGATTTCTTGAGTGTCTCAACAACAACATTTCCTCCTTGTGAAAATACAGTGAAACAGGTGCCAGGCTGGAAACCCACCGCGAGTTTTTCTTCTTGCTCCTCAGCTTTCTGCACATCTGCATCCCATTGCTGAAATAAAGTCAGGAACTGCTGGGAGAACTCATGATTGAGCTTCTGCCTGTAAACAGACACTAGCTGTAAGTATGACAGACATTACAAAAACTAACAAGGAAAGCTAAGGTTCAACACACATGGAATAGAATAAAAGGAGACAGCATAGATGAAGAGGCTATTTTGACATTTGCCCCCAACTGAATACTGCATGTTTTGAAAAACTGAACACACATACACATTTTGAGTGAATGTGGCTTATATACATATAAGGAAACTGAACTCATTTACAAAACTTAGATTAAAAATAAATTACAAGTTTTATTCCTAACAGCATCAGGTTTTCTAAGATTTACTCTTTCTAACCCATCTACAGATCTTGGCCTCAGAACACAGGGTTTATAATGAAAAAGCTATTAGCTCATTCGTTAGTTCTTTATTCTCTAGTTTATCTATGTACATTTAAATTTTGTGAATGCAAGTTTCAAATACATATATATAAAATGACCAAGACAGTGACAAGTATTTCTCACTTTAAGTTTTTAGCTGTCTCAATTTCAGTTTGCTCTACCTGTAGAATCAGATGTAGTAATTAAATAGGCCTTAAGTGAGAAGAATGTTACATAACGTAAACAATATTTACAATGTGAAAATTATTTTCTTTCTTAAACACAATGGTAAAAATTTTACTGAACGTTTTTCAATTTTCAAGTAGAAATAGAAAATTCCAACTGAATTGGAAAAAATAGAAACATTGATTTAAAAGACAAAAATAACACCAAGGGTCATTTTCCATGAAGAAAAAGCAAATCTAAAACCAATTCTTTAAGATATCTTGCTCTCAAAATGCAAAATCCTAAGTTTCTCCATTCAAAAGAGAAACTACTCTGCTAAACTATTACTGTCATTTTATCCAAGGGGATGCAACTGGAGGCAGCAGAAACAGACAACTTGTGTTTAACTAGTAGATATACTACTTGCTGTTTAACTGCAAGAAGATGGATGAACTATCCGTGCAGTAACACAAAAGGGAATTTGATTTCACTGGTTTGATGAACAAGGGTAAATGTTACCTTTGCTCCTGCTGTGTTTTCCAAACATGTTCAATCTTCTGGTTACTGGTTTTGAGTGAGGCTTTTGTATACATTTCTAACCTTTTCCTCTTAGCTAAGAGAGCCTTGTTAATGTCAGCTGAAAATCAAGAAATATTTAGAAATTAAGTAGAGACATTGTGCCTTTTATTAAAAATGCTTATGAGCTAATGCTTTGGAGAAGCAAAAGAGGTATGTTTTAATGGAAAGAAGCTAATATGATCTGGGTTCCTGGCTGCTGTGTTTAGTGTCCCTCAACCTGTGATTGGCACTGGTGTGAATGTTGCTCCTCTAAGTTCCCCATAAACCATGACCAACATCTGGCCTCTAGAGATGCAACTACTCATTGCCCAGCCCCACCAGCTACTCTGGCACCTGCTTCCAGTCCTGACCGCTCTCTGGGGCCAGACCAAACAGTACGGGCCCTGATGTCACTCAGCTTTAGCTTCCTTCATTTTGGGCTGGATGTTAGAGGGTACAGTCAGACACACACAGTGAACTGAAAGTGTCCAGTGGTTTGAACTCAGCGTAGCTGCAGCACTTCCATGATGTACATTTAAAATAGTTCCTTAAGCACTGTCATCATGTGTTCCCCTACTGATTATTATGGTCCAACACACATTTCTAACACATAATCCATACAACAAGCACACATACATGCTTAAAACTCTAGCAGTGCTATCCAGTCAGTTCACACTTTGTATCTTCAAACATTTTATTTGGACATCTCAAGAGTCTCTGAATTCCCTATTCAAAACTAGAGATACCTTGCACAAATCTATGAGTACAGACACGATGTCTTAGTCACACCATCAAAATCCTTATTACTTTAGGTGCTTTACTACATTGCCAGCTCTAAATTGCCAGACCTTCACAGAATTCAGTTATGCTGACACTTTTTTTCCCCCCCCTAGGAAAAAAACACATTTCAGAGTAATACTCAAATTACTTCAATTTCAGAAATAAATTAAAGGTAGTATGTGGTTGTGTACTTTTTAAAAAGTGTTAATATGTTAGCATGCTTGTTTCTCTTTAATTTACATTTGGAGATAGAATGAACAAGTCACAGCTTAAGGTTAATACAGCAATTTCTTTTCCTTTTTTCTGTAGACTTCAGGAAACACCTGTCCAATCTCTCTACTTTGCTGAGGCATCTGTCCCTGATTATGCCAAACCCATTATTTTTGGGCAGACATCCTCTCTCTGATCCATTCATTTTCCTTCCTTCTATCCTATTTTTGAGTCTTCATTAGCAAAAAGTCCTGCCTTGAGTAAGAGCAAGAGCTAACTTATAGCGTCCCTTTTCTCTAAAATATCAATACCTCTTAAACTTCATATTTTAATCAGAACTGATAACCAGAAGCACTCGTGCTTCTCTCCCTTCTTCCTTTGTAATCACCTACACTAATACTTCCATTTCACTTCATATGCCATTTTTCCCTTCTCTTCTTTCCCTTTGTTCTATTTAGATAAAACTAAAAACTAGCTTTTTTCAGAAATGCTGACAAATGCTACCACGACTGGTGATTTCATGCAAATCTTGAAAGTTTCTTCATGTTAAGGAATTACTGCAAATTCTGCAACTTAAACATAAATTGTTTATTATTTATTAAAATGTAAGCCTACTTACCTCCAAATCTTTCTAGCATGTTCTGTACTTCACCCCTGAAAAATAATGTTTAAAATTTTTATTTGTCCATTTTCCAACTTTAGAAAAAGACTGTTGTATATGCTTAAAACTAATTTTTTCATGTGCCTATTACTTGTAGGCAGTGACAGAGCTGTTACTGTTCTACAAGATATAAAACTCTCTCCTGTGAGAGGTCTCATTTTAGACTAATTTGCTGGTTTTTAAAAAATTGATGAGAATCTATTAACTTACTCCCCAGTAAAAAGGCAGTATTAGGAATCAAAGGGTCCTGAGTGAAGGAGGATAGTAAACAAAATTGATCTTTCCTGATACTAAAAGAAAACACAAAAGGTATTTGGCATATCAAATCTAAACAAGTTGATCACAACATGACTGGCACAATAGGAAAAATCAAAGAAAAATAATACCAGCGTTGTTTTTACAAGATTGTAACACCAGGATTTAAGACAGTGGTACAATAGTTGACAAGTCCAAAAAGGGACATGGCAGATAAAGAAAACATTTATCTCAACTTTTTATCTTCTCCACCACAGGATACCACTTTTCTTTTGCACAGCAAAAAAACCAACCAACCAAGAAAAAAAAAAGTCACCTCAAAACCATAACGACACAAATCAACTGTATCTTGCTAAAAGCTATTTCAACATACACTTTTAAATTACATTTACACTGCCCATAAACATTGAATTTCATAAGATTTATCTGTAAAAAGAATTTATTTTGCATGCTATAGTTTGATCATTTAAAGTACTGTTAGTACCATCAAGCAAGATCAGAGGGAAAAAATTTGCAACAGTTAAGATAAAACTTAATAATCTTTTGAAAGAAACAACAATTTTTAAGAACTCACACAAATATATCAATTCTTTATGGATGTTAAAAATTATCTACAAAGAAACGGGAGAATTACTAATTTTAAAATGTTTTATTTACTTTTTAAACCTACACCTACTGTACTACCTGTCACCTGCTTTCTTCATCAACCAAAAAGAAAACTCCAAGCAAAACAAGCATAGTGAGTAACTGAAATCAGTATCTATTTAAGACTTGCTCATTTTGGAAAAAAAAAATATATCCTAAGCTTACCCCACATCATCAGGAATCACATGAGTATTCACCAAAGGTCTTTTCTTTCCATGCTTCTCCATTACTGGTGTTTCACCTTAATACAAATTTTAAAAATATTTACAAAAATGTCTTATGTTTTGTGGGGGTCATTTGAATTATTAAAAGCGTAACTATTTTTCTGTAATGCCAGTTATCTGAATATGTCTCACGGGTCTCAGTTCCCATCCATAAAACGTGCAGCTCTTAAAACTTTGAACTTGGACATGATAAATGGTGGTGAATTCTTCTGCAAGGCTAGATTTGAGCTGGCACTGCCTTGACTTCCTCTAGATTGGTCTGAATCAGTTTTAGTTTCTCTGCCCACTGTGATAAAAAAATACTGCCAACTCACAATGGAATGGCCCAAACTGCAAGAATTTCTTTTTGCTGTAAAATAAGTCCTGCAGTTGTGTACTCTGACCTTTAGAATAAGCAAATCACAACAGGTATTATTCAAAAAAATAAAAATCCTTGGCTGTGACGTTTCTATTGACAAGGGCATGGGGGTGGAATTTAGTCAGAACAAATGAAGAGGGTGAGAAATTAAAAGAAACGAACCCAGAGATAATGGCTGAAAGTCAAAAATCCAGAACTGTTGTTACATCAAACTTTACAAAAAGCCTATCGTGATTAATCAGAACTGCATGTTTAAGGAAGATCCACTTTCTTATGACACTGCCTCAAAATTAAACAAGAATGCCTTGGTTGCCTTCTTTTTTCCTCAGCTTTCTCTGCTTCTTCCCCTTTTTTTTCCTTGGTTCAGGTTAATCCTGAAGTACTCTTAACTGCCAGCATTAAGACTCCAACTGCCCTACCCAACTCAGCACTCCATACAGGCAAGCAGAGCTCTTCCTCTGTTCTATCCTTATCTCATCATGGTATTACAGCCAGGTGATAGAAGGATATGGCATTAAAATAAGGTAACAAAACCATGCAACAAAATCCTACTCTAGATTCCAGCTACAATTCTAAGACACAACAGTGCACTATACAGAGCTATTCTATTGTGTTGTCTTAACAATCAAACAATAGGAAGCTAGCTGTCATAAACATTATGAACCATGCTTAGAATCATAGAATGGTAAAGGTTGGAAAGGGACCTTAAAGATCATCAGGTTCCAACTCCCCTGCATGGGCAGGGACACCCCACACTAGACCAAGCTGCACAAAACCTCAGACCCTTGCTAACATGGAAGTTATCTTAATTTCTATTCAGTCAGAAATATTATAAGCTTCATGTTTAAAAGAAAAATAATCATATATGCACCTTCTCTAATATCTTCTTCTGATCCACTCAGCTCTTTTCTTTCCTCTTGAAAATCATAAACTGGTATGGGTGGATCTTCCTGTGCTTGTTTACCAGCTTTTCCTCCATGCTTCCTTCCTGATGGTGCCATGCTTAGATTTTCTTCCTACTGAAAGGGTATGTTGTGATACTTTCCCCACAATACTTGAAAGTTAAGTATGTTTTTATTGACCTGTTACGGACTCCCCTGTAACAGTATCTACCTGTGAGGATATTCAGTCAAACTGTTTTAGCTTTGGGGTAATCCACAGGATTACCCATCATTGCTGTTTTTAAGAACAGGGTAAAAAAAAATACGAGGGCTAGCAGGAACATACTTGCTTCTCCTGAAAAACAAGGAAGTAAATCATGCACTTTTTTAAGGTGCCTGCCTGCTCAGCTTCCATTATCCTTTTTATGTATTTTCTCTCTACTGCACTCACAAAAAAGCTATGACAATATTATAGTTTACAAAATGCAGAAATGAGAAACCATAAAGAACAATCTGATGCCACAAGCCATCCCACCCTAGACAAATACACACACATGCCATTTTAAAAAATCCTGACCAACTTTCTCACTTATCTTTATTTTTAGCAATTACGCCTCTGCGTTATTTAATGCAACTAATGCAGTTTCTCTATGAGCCTTCCTAAAAAAAAACACACCAGTATTCACATCTTTACTTCAGTAAAGCTAATTTTTATAAATTCTGTGTTTTGTTATAGTTAAGGAGTAAAATACCTTGTTAGAAGGAGATTCGTATAGTTGTAATTATTAAATGCATGAGTGACAAAGTATTTTTTTCCTTAGCACTTTATCAACAATAGAAATAATATATACAACAAGAAATAGAAAGCTACCGAGTCCTTGCTTAAATTTTTGTTATCTTACCACCTCATGACCCCATAAAACCTTCACTACCCACTTTAGCTGATTCCAGGATCTGAAATCCACAGCTGCGTAGTCAGCAACGATTTTGTCAGAGAAACTCACCTCCCTTTTTCACTCTGCCTCCCCAAAGATGCGAAATAAACCACTATTTGTGTGCATCTCCTGTGTGTGGCTGCTCACCATGGAGGCCCTCACAGCAGCAAGGGAGCCCTGGCCTCCCACCACTACCACAACAGGCTTCAAGGGGG